ATGATGATAATAATTATGATCATAATAATATTGATCATGATAACAGTAATGAAAATTGTGATACTAATGATGATGATGATGACGATGCTAAGACACACCTCTGATAAAAAAAGAATAAATAAATGAATAAATAAAATGAATAATAAAAAAAATAATCATAAAAATCTGTTCATAACTATTTGAGTTATTCTGCTAACCATCCAACAAACAAACTAACCAACGCTACCAAAAACATAACCTACTTGGCGGAGGTAATCATGACAGTAAACAAAATAATGGTAATACTGATTATGATGATGGAGATGATGATAATGATAATGATGATAAAAATGATATTATTAATAATGATGAGTATTATTATCAATATTATTGTAAGTTATGAACGTTGTTTTTTCTTTTTTGTTGCTAGCTTTACTATTAGTGTAGTAGCATTATAGTTATTAAGATTACGATAATGATCATGAGCATCATCATTAAGACTACTACTACTACTACTTGTACTACTTCTACTACTACTACTACTATAACTACTACTACTACTACTACTTGTACTATTACAATACTACTACTACTGCTACTACCACTACTACTACTACTACTACTACTACTACTACTACTACTACTACTACTATTGCTACTACTTTTTTCTTTTAAAATAGCCCTCAGTCCTCCTCTTAAATCTCGGTCAAAGCGTCATATCTATTATTGTCATTATCAATATCATCATTAACGAAAAAAAAACTTTTTTACGTAGCCAAAGACATTCCATAAATCTGACTTCGAATGTCATGTCAGTGCCAAGCCATCTCTTTCTCTGGGGCATTGACCTTGACAAGTGACGAAAGTTCAGATTTTGAAGGTCCTCTGTTCGTTTCTTTGCTGATTTACAGATTTATTTGTGCAAAGTCTGTCCTTGCAATTAATTTCGATGGCAGGAGACGTTATATTTTCTTATGTGATACACAGTTGCACAGTCACGCATCGAGAGAAGACGTGTCTGCCGTCTGCCAAAGTCTAGGCTATCGTCCGAAACAGATCGTCTGGTGCTGAAAACCGTCCGAATAGGATCGTTCCGAAACGTTGCGATGGAACACGAGCGAAACGTTTATTGATCAGCTGATTGTCTTTTTCTTTCTCTTTCTTATTTTCTATTATTATTTACTCTTGTCTTCATTGTCTTTTCTTTCTCTTTCTTTTTTCTATAATTTTCTCTTTCATTGTCTTTTTCTTTCTCTTGTCTTCATTGTTCTTTTCTTCTTTCTTTTTTATCATGATTCTTATCTTCATTGTCTTTTCTTCTCTTTCTTTTTTTTGTCTTTTCTTCATTGTCTTTTTCTTTCTCTTTCTTTCGTTTTTTCAATCATTATTTTCTGTTTTCTTCAAGGGAAAAGATGGGTAGTAGAAAACACTGTGTTTATATGAATTATACTTTGGTCTTGAGCTAACAAAACGAGCGCTGACAAGATAAATGGCTACATGCTCGTGGAAACGTACGAGAGACAATTATTAAACCTTATTTTGCTTATCAGAAAAACTCTTTGACATTTGGGGAATTTGCGAAGATAGAGAGAAAAAGAAATAAGGACGAATAACCTCTGCCAATATAGGAAACGCGGTTGTCTGGAAAAAAAAAAAAAATCAAAAAAAGAAAAAACATCACTGGCACCTCCACCTCCTCCCTCCCCAACATACACAAAAGAGGAAAATTATTTAAACAATTGATATCATGTGAGTAAAGCATGGCTATAGATTTTTCTTATTGTTTTCAGTAGGATCGTCCCCATATTTTTTTTACGGTCTGTCTTTTCTCTCTCCTTTCTTGATTTTATCTTTGTTATTGGGAAGAGCGTAAATATTATGGACCTGGCACAGTGCCACGCCGGAAGTGCCTCGGTCATTCTCCTGGAGCACACGTAGGCACTCAGTAGCATGTCGTTGTTTATATTAATCTTAATGTCCTTCTGTTGTGTTCTTCCTTTTTTTCTACGGTATTGTTTTATCTATAACTGGTCTGCGTAGTTCTACTGATATGTTATAAGTAAATTCGAAAAAATGGCAGAAAATATGATTGGTTGTGTGGGCGTTTTTCGTTTGAGTCGAGGTGTTGCGTGGTTGCGTGTTTGTATGTCATCATCACCATCATCATCATCATCATCATCATCATCATCATTATCATCACCATCACCATCACCAACTTCACCATCATCAATCATCATCACCACTATCCCTATCTTCACCATCATCATCAGTCATCTTCATAATCATCATTATACATACTGCTACTATATTAGTTTTTTTTATTGTTTCATTTCGTACTTGTATATCTTACTTTATTATACTCAGTGCATATCAAGTTATTTATGTCTTGAATTTACCATCTCACGAACGTCAAGAATTCAAGTGTCACAAGCAGAAAGCATTTCTTCAGCAGTAACTTCTCTGTGCCAAAAAAGAGAAGAAAAGAAAAGAAAAGAAAATCAAACGACAAACTATACAAAACAAAATTTTAAAAAATCAAACGACAAACTACAGAAAAAAATCGAACTATACAAAAAAACAAGCTAACAAAAAAAAAAAAAAAAAAAAAAAATCAAACGAGAAACTATACATGCAAATTTGATACTTCCAAATTGGTCGGAAAGCGCCCTAATGGCCTTGTTAGTGAATCTCGTCGTTAGAAGCGATATGATAACAGGCAATTACGACAACAGATAACAGCTGATCTGTCGCCGGCTTTGAGGAAGTAGTGCTCTTTCTAAAAGATAAATGAATAAATAAATAAAAAATAAATAAAATAATGGAAGGTTGATTTTGTCGCCTTATTTATGATAATAATAATAAACAAACAAATAAATAAAATGGATGGTTGATTTTGTCACCTTATTTATGATAATAATAATAAACAAACAAATAAATAAAATGGATGGTTGATTTTGTCGCCGTATGATGATAATAATAAACAAATATAATAATGGATGGTTGATTTTGTCACCTTGTTTATGGTGCAGTGATGTGATGTAAGGCCAGTCTTGCTAAGTGTGTTTATTTCCATTTTGGTGAAGAAGGTTGATTTGTCGGCCTCTGACTAGGCTTGTGTGATGGGCGGGGGCGATAAACAACCCTAGTGGGCTAATTGGTGGCTTGTGCTGTCTCTGCCGGTAGCACAAATTTTTATTACATTTGTTTGATGTGTATCTCTCTCTCTTTTTTCCTTTCTCATCCTTTCTCTCTCTCACTCTAAAAATCTCTTCTCTCTCTCTCTCTCTCTCTCTCTCTCTCTCTCTCTCTCTCTCTCTCTCTCTCTCTCTCTCTCTCTCTCTCTCTCTCTCTCTCTCTCTCTCTCTCTCTCTCTCTCTCTCTCTCTCTCTCTCTCTCTCTCTCTCTGCCTGAAAATTGTTTATGGTAGACGTGACTTTGTGTATTATTAGGAGAGTCTAACGACCTTGGGATGTAAAGGAAGTGTTTATTTGGAGATCTTACTAATAAAGTAGACCCTTGCTAACCTGTTTCATTGGTCTCGCAAAGTGGCAACCTTGCAAGCGCTCGCAATGCACGCACACAAGCATGCACGCGCGTTAAGAACCTTTTTTTCCCCTTGGACAGTGTGTAAGTATCCCTCATCACAACGCATATTTTTTTTTTTTTCAAAGGATTGTTGTGTAGTACGTTATCCCACACCGTAAGTTGCATGGCGAATGGCGACATTTATTCAGGAAGAAGTGGTTACGCAAGAGAGGGCTTTTATAGGACGTTACGTGGGAATAACAGCCCCGTAACGTTTGTTCGGTGACGTAACGTTAGTGTGTTGCGAGCTGAGACACATGGAGAGACACGTGGAAGGGCTCGTTGGAGGTGTAAGGAAGGCGCGCCAAGGTTTTTTAACAAGCGGAGAAACGGGGGGAAAAATGCGTGTTCATTTTAAAAGATCAGTTCACTTGAATGCAAGTCGAGTAAGGATACTGTTTCGTGTCGTTTAATGATATGAGGGTTTTATAAACAAGGGGGTTTAATGTTCTTTGTGTTATTGTTTTTGTGTATTATGGTTGGCATGTTCTCCTACTTTTGCGGTTTCTTGTGTCAACTCTCTCTCTCTCTCTCTCATTCCTTTTTTCTTTCACCCTTATATTTCAGTCCCTCTCTCATTTTCAGCCTTCACCTAGTCCTATTTACTTATGGCTTTCAAGGGCACACTGACTGACACTCTTGCACACTTGTGTATTTATAACGATTTGTCTGGCGTGTCGGGAAAAGTCATGAAAAATGACAATTTCTCGGTGGCACTTTTCTTGTTGTTTTTTCCTTCCTTTGTCTTGAAGCGACAGGTGAAAAATGTCTTGGCTGTTTGTCTGCTCTGCCCCTTGGAGACCCCGGGGAACTCGCCCATCCGCAGCCGCACGTCTTCCGAGGACGGCCGCGAGGGACGAGGCACTGCGGACCGGGCCCTTTCGAGTTGCTCCGGTAGACGCGGGTGTTGATCCCGCTGCTCGGGGACGCTAGACGGGGCGGGGAGCCGAGCGGGTGGGCACGCACCGAAATTTCTGGACGGTCTCCACGCGGCGGGGCAGCGTTGTCCCGCTTCGCCCTCCGCCGCGGCCGCCATTCATGCGCTCCTGAGGGCGACTCGCCGATCGCCGGGGCCTCCAGCCGTGGCCTGAGGACTCCGCCTGCTTGTGCGTCCGTTCATACGGGTAGGGTGCGGTGGGCGGGGCGTCGGCGCTGTAAAAATACCTGTCGTTTGGCAATGTTTAGGACAAATGCGCAGCGTGGGCACCGGTGCCAGCTCTGTGAAGGTCATACCCAGCGCCCGAGAGAGGCTGCCGCGCCCAGTTTGCTCTGGCACCAGTTGTCGCCGCCGCCCCCCGCGCCTCGGCTCCGCCTGACTCGAGCCCACGCCGCCCTGCACGCCCTGCTCCCGCGTCGGCCGAGGGGCGCCGCCGCCTCCGAAGGATATAGCCGCACACGTCGTGAAACGCGGAAACAGGAAAATACCGATCGCGTCGCCATGGTGTCCCCGCCTTGAGGGGAAGTGATGAGGTTGTGCTTTGCGGTTGAGATTGAAAGTGTCGTGTGTTAGTGTAGTTGAGGAGCCAGTGCGCCACGGATGGTTGAGTGTGCGAGTGCGCAGGAGGGGCGCCGTGATGGAGGGGCCGCATGTGGTCCGCCCCTTGCGCCCTGCGCAGTGCCACGCCTCTTTGTTTGACCAGCTCGGCGGCGTGTTCGAGGCACAGCCGTCGCGCTCGTACTCGGGGGACGACGCGGAGCCCGAGCGCCGCGCCGAAGGGAACCCCCTCAAGCGCTCCTGGTCCTTCGACGAGCGCAAGTTCGGGCAGCTGGCCCACGGCGGCGGCGATGCCCGGGAGCGAGGCCCCGACGCCCACGCCGCCCACCACCCGCGGACAGCCATGATGCCGCCGCCGCCGCCCCTCGACCAGGACACGCGCCGTCAGCTGGACGAGTTCGAGGAAGTGATCTCGCGCATGGAGACCATGAGCGGCGGCGACACGTCGTCCCGCCACAGCGCCATGCCGCCGCCGCCGCCGCCGCCGCCTGCTTACCCGGGCGCCGCCCACGCCCAGCGCTCGCCCGCCCACCACCACCACTTGGGCATGCAGCAACATCTTCATGCACAGCAGTCTCACATGCCGCCGCCGCCGCCACCGCAGCAACAGCAGCAGGTACAGCAGCAGCCGCAGCAGGAGCTCCTGCAGGCCGTGCTGCAGCATCACCAGCAGCAGTATGAGTCTGGCACGGGCGGCCAGAGCGTGGGTGGCTACGAGTGCAGGGGCAGCCAGATGGAAATCGGCGGCGAGAATTTCCTGTCGCCCACCAGCGAGTCGCATCTCTCCATCCCGCAACAGGTGTCCCCCCATGTGTCTCCGCACGTGTCTCAGCAAGTGTCTCCGCACGTGTCCCAGCAGGTGTCTCCGCACGTGTCCCAGCAGGTGTCTCCTCACGTGTCTCAGCACGTGTCCCCGCACGTGTCCCGCCAGGGCTCCCCTCACGTGTCCCCGCAGGTGTCGCCCTTCACGTCGCCGCACACGTCGCCGTCCGCGGCCGCCACGCCGCCCATCCACTCGCGCCCGTCCACGCCCCAGTCGTGCCCGCCCTCGAGGCGCTCCTCCTCCGAGATGGCGCCCTCGTCGTTGCAGCTGCCCTCGCTCTCGCAGTCGCTGTCGCAGCCCTCCACGCCGACGCCTCAGGTCAAGATCGAGGTGACGGGCCCGTGGAGGGCGGGGGCGGGGCGGGGCCAGCGGCAGGGATGGGCGTGTCCTTGGCCTTCCTCCCCCCGCGTGAGTACCCGGAGGCCACACCGGCGCTCCTGCGGCAGTGCGTCGCGCCTCCGTAGGGATGCGTTCTCTCGAAGGACGTTCCAAAGCGATTACAGAATGACGTCGCGGCGTCTCACGGATTCGCGGTTCGTTAAAGGTCACTGGGCCCATGAAAATAACGTAAAGAACGACCTTATCGACACATAGCTTACGCTTATAGGACTCTCAGGTGTTTATCCCAGAACTTGGTTACAAATATTAGCCTAAGGAAGCAGGGCGTCTTGGCTGCGACGGCTTATCAAAACATGGCGTGAATTCGCGCCCCCATAAATCGTAGATTGTTTATTGATCCCATTCGTGATTATATTCCTAGCCATTTGATATTGTTACGATAGCCATTTTGATGTTATTGTTTACTACTGATATTCTACCAGCCATTTGAAATTATTCTAGAAACCGTTAGATGTTCTGCTACGAGTCATTTGGCGTTGCTGTACTAGCCAATTGGGTAGTTTTCTAGAAGCCGTTAGCGATCGTACCACTCGCCGTTGCTGTACTAGCCATTGGGTCATTTGCTAGAAGCCGCTAGCGATCGTACCACTCGCCGTTGCTGTACTAGCCAATTGGGTCATTTTGAGCGTCAGCTTGTCGCTCTAGCGATCGTACCACTCGCCATTTGGTATCATGACACAAGCCAGCTGATCCGCACGGCCTGAGGAGCAGAGCGGGTCGGGCTGGCTTCAGGGAGGCAATGGGGTTTGTTGAGATTCTGGCACGGCGGGCGAGGAATGTGGGGAGATGAGGCTGATGTTTAGGGCTGTTTGTGTATTGGCAGCGGGGTAAGTGGCGGAGGAAGGGGAAGGGGTGGGGGAGGTATGGGTGGTGGGGGATAGGGTGGTGGGGGCGTGATGGGGGTGGTGGAGGAGGGAGGAGGTATGGGTAGCTTGATTTGTGGGTGGCGGAGGAGGAGGTGGGGGAGGTATGAGTGGCGGAGGAGGTGGGGGGGGTATGGGTGGCCGAGGAGGAGGAGGTGGGGGAGGTATGGGCGGGGAAGAGGTGGGGGAGGTATGGGCGGCGGAAGAGGTGTGAGTGGCTAGATTGTGGGCGGGGCGGCGGAGGAGGAGGTGGTGGTGGAGGTACGATTTGCGGAGGAAGTGGTGTGAGTGAGGGAAGAGGAGGTGGTGGAGATATGGTTGGCGGAGGAAGTGATGGTGGAGTTGTGGGCGGCAGAGGAGGGTGTGGTGGAAGTAGGGTTAGCGGAGGAGGGGGAGGAGTTGGTGAAGAAGGTGGCGAACGTATGAGCAGCGGAGGTGGGGTACGTAGGGTTGGCGGTGGAGGAGGTGGAGGTAGAGTTGGTGGAGGAGGAGGAGGAGGAGTTGTAGAAGAAGTTGGCTAATATCTGAAAGCGGAGGTGGATGGAGTGGAGACGAGGGTGGTGGAGAGTGTGGCCGCCAAGGAAGGAGAAACTAGAGATAGAGATAATGGTGGAAGAGGAAGCGGAGGAGGGATGGGGAGGTGAGGAGGAGAAGAGGAGATGGCTGGGGGGGGGCGTTCCCTGGTCCTCACTGTCTTTTGCGGTTTGATATATATCCAATGCTTTCTACTTCTCCCTTTATTCTTTATTCTTGTCCTTGCTGTTCTTCTTTCTCTTCACCATCGTCTTTCCCTCTTCTTAATGGTATTTGTTTATGTTTGTGTTTTCCTTCTTTCCCCTTCCTCTCCTCCTCCTCTTCATCTTTTTCTTCTTCTTCCTCTTCATCTTCTTCCTCCTCCTTCTCTTCACCCTCTTCCTTCTCCTCTCCCTCCTCCTCCTCCGTCACACTTTAACCACTGACTCAAACGAAATTTATGAACAAATCTAAGGAGTTTTCACGCGCATTTTAAATTATCTCCATCTCAGGAGGATCAGAGGTTAGTGTAACGTCGCATTGCATATTCTGCGAAATACTGTCTCTCGCCGTCTTTCTCTCTGTCTGTCTCGCTCTCTCAATCTCTCTCGCTTTTTCTCTCTCTCTCGCCCTTTCTCATTCTCCCTGTCTCTCTCTCTCTCTCTCTTTCTCTCGCCCTTTCTCATTCTCCCTGTCTCTCTCTCTCTCTCTTTCTCTCGCTCTCTCTCTCTCTCTCTCTCTCTCATTCTCTCTCCCTCTCTCTCTCTCTTCTTTCTCCCTCTCTCTTCTCTCTCTCTCTCTCTCTCTCTCTCTCTCCTCTCTCTCTCTCTCTCTCTCTCTCTCTCTCTCTCTCTCTCTCCTCTCTTCTCTCTCTCCTCAATTGCTGCGTTTCTTCCCTGCGAAATGCCTACTTGATAAAGATTATATCGATGAGGCTCTTTAGAAACAATTCGGACCGTCATAACTTTAATATCAAAGCTCGTCTATTTTCCGTTGCAGTTTTCCTGTTATAACGACGCCTTTGTCACACACCCACAGTACACGCGCGCAAGCTCTCGTCTCTCCCAACGACATCCACCGTACCCTTACCCCCCCCCCCTCGGCCCTATTCCCGTTTGACTGGGTCATTAGTATTTCTAATAATAGGCTTGGTTTCGTGTGTGTGTGTGTGTGTGTGGTGTGTGTGTGTGTGTGTGTGTGTGTGTGTGTGTGTGTGTGTGTGTGTGTGTGTGTGTGTGTGTGTGTGTGTGTGTGGTGTGCGTTCACCCGTATAAGTGTACGTCTTCGTGTGTGTATATGTATTTGTATATAAATATATTATATAAGTATATGTATGTATTTGTGTATTTATATTCACATACACACACACACACACATATCATTATCATCACTACCTCAAATCTATGCTAAGATAAACATTAGAATACTTCATTGTTGATACAATTAACTCATAAAATAATGGGTCTTGCAAATGGTCGAATTGTAATAGAACATGCTCTCAGTGACGAAGTGATGGAAGGTAAAGTTGCTGCCCAATATCGCCCTTAATTCTTCGGAAATGCGAAAGAGATGTCCCTAAGAGGCAACAGCGTGTTATAATTGCTAAGGCCAGTGATCCATATTATTTATTTATTTTTTCTAAGGGGGGGAGGGGAGGGATGGCGTACTAATTGTATTTCCTTCGTTTTGTTATTATTATTTATTTATTTATTTATATTTTTTTTTACTGTAGTTGTATTTGGTGTTTTTTTTTATCCTTTGTGTTTTCATAATTATTCTTCTTGTCGTTAGCTGTTGGTATTTTTGTTGTTTTTTGTTTGTTATTAGTAGTAGCATTTCATTATTATTATCCTAATTATTATCTTTGATATTATAATGACTATTATCATTCTTTACGAATATGATTATTAATCGAGTTATGATTAGCTTGCTTACTTAGAAGACTATTAATGAATGGTAGATTTTTGGAGCAAAAGCCGAATTACTTTAGAAGCTTGATGAAGTTTCGGAATTGGTTTGTTTATGTGTTTAGATCGGCTTTTTTGTCAGTGTGATTATCGGTTTCTTTGTCTTTTGTCTTTGTTGGTGGCTTTTCGGAGAGTGACGGTGCTCTTTGGCTTCATCTTTGACGTGCTTTTGCTTTGAGTCGCGTGTTTGTTCCGAGTCCGTGACTGTCAAGTGTGCCCGAGCTGATTTTACGTGTTTGTTTGTTTGTGAGTTTTTTATTTCAAATGTTTTCCTTTTTTAGTTACTAATATTTTCCTTTTTGAGTTATTTATTAAATTTTCCCCTTTTTTCTCTCCCCGCAGCCCGCCTTCCAACGTGAAGGCGATGCCCACCACGTCACGGACGCAGCTGAAGCAGCAGTTGATGCGCCAGCAGCTGCAGCAGCAGCAGGAGCAGCGCGACAGGGACGCGCGCATGCAGCAGCAACAGATGCACCAGCAGCAGATGCAGCACCTGCAGCCAGGCCAGCAAGGGCGTCCGCAACACCAGCAACACCAACAGCAACATCAGCAGCACCAGCACCCGCAGCAACAGCCGCAGCTGCAACACCCGCCGCAGCCCGCGCAGCAGCCGCAGGAGCCCATCGCCATCCCGACGTCAGTGCCGCAGGATGTGCCGCCGCAGGTCTTGCAGGTAGGCCCCCCCCCCCATCGGATCTCTTAGGGGCCGCTTGCCCCCCCCACCCCCCGCCTCGGTTTGCTAGGCTGTGGTACGCGAGGGGGGGGGAGGAGGAGAAGGAGAAGGAGAAAGGGAAGAAAGAGAAGGAGAAGGAGAAAGAGTAGGGAAAAAAGAGGAG